TTTGGTAGCCTCATTGAAGATGCACTAAATAAATTCATAGCTGAAGGAGATGTAAGTGAACTGATTGAACTTTGTTGATTTAATTGGCTCAGTAATGCCTTTCCTTGGGCAAAAAAAATAAAGTGTGAGATGTGATGGTATGATGTTTTAATAACACTAAATATGACTTAAACGGCATCAAGCTCTTATTCTATCAGGCCTGGGTTCGATTCCTAATACCAGGAGAACATGTTGTGTCTTTAGGCAAGACACTTTACTGAATTCTAAGTGCCTTGACGTGTTCTTAGTTAGGACCTAAAGCCAAGGTCCTGTATCCTTACAATTCAAATTCACACTGAATGTCAGGATATAATTTTTAGAACCCACACCACTATTCTACTAGTAGAAGTGAACAGCTCTCCCTTTTTTCTCAATATTATGTTAATGGACAATAATTGTAGTTCACTTTTTTTTTTGCCAGTGGATAACATTTTTAATAATCAAATCTTTTTTATATTATTTCCAGACAATTGTTAGTACTCTGAAGAGGTTTATAACCAAACATAACTACTCTTCTGTCATGCAAGCTTTTCCAATCCTGAAACATTTCCGTTTCATCCAGCCTTTATATGATGATGTACTCCAGGTGAGAGRAATTTCACAGTTCTTTATTATTAATAATATTAACTGAAAACAAGTCACTCTACATTTGACACTAACTTATTGGTCAAGTGCAACCATGATAATATCTTCACMAATTGCCATGAAATGATATTAGGTGGATTCATGGTACAATTAGAGAACACGCAGCTACATGTATTACAATTCAATAGCCCATTTTCGATATTCTGGCTGATTTACTGCATTACAAAAGAATATAACTTGACAAGGCTCCGGGGAAACAAAAGAATTATGTATTGATTCCATCTTGAATCCTTTTGTATGCAGTTTGTTAAACAATAATATCTGATATATCCAGTGCCATTCCTTCCACATTGTGTAGCCTGYATGTATACTTATGTGTAAAAATTTAGACTAAAGGTCACAAACTTATTGTCTTGAATTCCTTTTGTGTGTGCATAGTTTAAGAACTAGTTTGAAAGCTCTTACTAGAGGCCAATTGTATCTTCATGAGCAGCATTCGAATCAAAGAGAATGGTTATTRCTCATGCTGATGTTTTCAGAACACAAGCTCCAAGACAAGACAGCAGTTTCCCACTTTGATTTGGAATTTAGAACTTACGGTAAGTTAGGATAAATAATGTTACCATAAATCCATTATCATAAATCCATTATTTTATCATTTTCATATTTTGTAAAATGATGATAAATACTGCAATCTAAGGCCTCAAGTTTGCAGTCTGAACATAGTTAGTAGAGAGGACCTCTCTATTAACTATGGTCTGAATAATTTATTTTATTCTGGCTTCAAGAGGATTCAAACCCAGCCAGCCATGTTATCCAAGTTGTAATTATTGTGATTGAATGTGTGGCACCCGTCAATCAGAGCATAAATCAAATTTATCTTATCCTTTTAATAAATCAGGTATCGAGAGGACTTGAAGAATTTGCAGATGGTATAAAGGTATGGTATCTCAAGAAGTTCATAATTTTATTTAACATTAATTGTTTAAGAAATATAAAACTGCGCGCATGTCACTGTCCTGATATAAACATGGTCGTCAGCCAATCAGAATGCACGTTATATATCAAAAATTTAATGACAATATATAAAACTAAACCTATTTCAGAAATCATGGAGTACAGCGTATAGTGCAGTCTTTCAGAGTGATTATATTCATCTACATCATAATAATGTAGGATTTGATAGCAATTCAATGCATTTTGGTTTACTTGGAATACACTAMATAATATCTAATACTGAAGAACAGTTTATGTTATCAAAGGTGGTGCAAGTTCATATTACTTTTTTTGGTATTTGATTTTTTTCCAGCATGGACCTGACAAGCATTCCAACATGCCTAAAGATGGAACTGTTCATGAATTAACAAGAAATGTAAGGATAATGTTGCCTTTTCTTGGAGTTACCCCCGTGTGTACAACCTTTATGTGGCTAAAATGTGGGTGGCTCTAGGGAAATATCTGTTTGAAAAAAGGAGTAGGCCAAAAGTTGAAGTTTGATGGATAAATGAACAAAACAATTGAATTATCAGTAAATGAATAGATTAAAAAGTCAACCAGTCAGCGAACTGATCAATGAAAAGTTGTGGGAATGATTAAATAAATGCATGAATAATAAGGGAATGATACACTGAAAAATCATTTGACTGCAAAATAGACAGATGACCACATCAAATCCAAAAAGAAAGAATAAATGAAATTAAAGAATACATCCTATAATAGTCTCCTTCACGGTTCCCTGCGCCATGTAGCTGTGCCTTTACATCAAAGCGAGACAACCATTGAGCGTGCAATGATGCTTTGATGTACTATGTAAAGGCCTGGCTACCTTTCAAGATGGCACAGTGAAGGGGACCATTCATTTATGGACTAATATTTAAATGATGAAAGAATGAAAAATTTAATAAAAACTAAGGATTTAAAGAATCATAACCACCCGCCGTACCTTGCGAACCGAAGCGCCATTTTAGGTGGACACGAAAATGGCGGATTTGTAGGATTTCTTGAAGTGAGCGCAAATCGTCTTCCGTCCTTTCAGTTTGGACAGAAATACCTTAACTAAGTACCTCACAGGTACTATCAATCTATAATTTATTGTATGCTTGACGTATGTAAACAATAATACGAGCGCGCAAGGTACGACKGGTGGTTATGATTCTTTAATGAGTAAATCAATGGAAAAAAGTCAGTAAGAATGAATGCATTGTTTCCCTGTTTTAGACGTTAATCTTCATGGACCAGCTTCTGCCGTATGTAGAGACGGTGGGTAACGTATTGGCAACACAGCAGGAAGATCAAATGGGTGGGGTTATCTACAGAGATGAGGGTCAATTAACAAGAATTACAGCAGAATACGTCCGTATGTATTASCATTTCAATTTCAGGGGAGGATCCAGCTAATGGGGGTGGGGAGGGGGGATGCACACCCCCTCCTGGCTGCAGGACAAAAAAAAAATAAGAGCCAGGCAAAAGTCATTAGGAATTGATTTAGGAGAGGCGAAGGGGCCAAGGCCCTTATTTATGTGACGTGGACCATCTCCTGATTAACTGGTGGCTGCAGGATGAASAAAAATTAGAGCCAGGCAACAGTCATTAGGGACTGATTTAGGAGAGGCGAAGGGGCCAAGGCCCTCCTTTTGCTGAACAATTGGGGGGAAAATATGTCAAAATTCTGGARATCACTTTCTCAGGAATGTTGGGGGAGCATGCCCCAAGACACCTCTAGTTCTGCTCCCCTCCAATAGTCAATAATACAGGACTAAACATCCTCCCCTTTTATAAATTTCTGGATCAGTCCCTGGACACACTCTTCAAGCAAGAAACAGACACTGGTCAATATTCCAGACAAATCACTGTGTCAACCTTTTGCCCTGGCAATCATGTTATCCTAATAGACTGATAACATTCCATTTTCCTTAGATTTGCAATAATTTATTAGTAAATGATGCATTGCAAATTTCCTAAATAGTGAKCAATTGTTTTATTATTTGTAGAACGTGTTCTTGGATCACTAGGACTCAACTTACAGCTGAAAGCCAAATTCTATGAATCAATGACACTTTCAGCACTATTTCTCCTCAATAACCATCACTACATTCTGAAAACTCTTCAAAGGTACAGTACATTTGTCTGTAAGTCAATCAAACATATAATAGTCTCCTTCACGGATACCTGCGCCATCTTAAAAGGTAGCCGTGCCTTTGCACCAAAGCGAGACGACYGTTGAGCGTGCAATGATAGATACCTGTGAATAATTGTCTATAGGTGTGAAAGAAGGTTTTTATCATTGCACGCTCAACGGTTGTCTCGCTTCGATGACAAGTTTTGAGATAAACAATGGAGTTATGGCAAAAACTTTTTCTTTTTGGACTTAAAAATTGGTGAGAATTGTTCGCACAACAACAGCATGCTCAGGGCCTAAAGTCTTTCTTGTGTTTCATAGGTCAGGACTTACAGCACTCCTCAAAGATGGGGAAATCAATGACATTGAAGGAAAATATCAAAATCTGATTGAGGAGCAGAAGAATATGTATGAAAAATGGTAAAAACTGGTGATTTATTTATTTAATATCATATAAT